CCTGCCTATTGGGGTACACAGGTTGGTTGTCACCCCCCCAAGATGGCACGGGCCCTTGTTGGGCCGGCACATAAGGGTAGTTAACAAGGGGAATGACATCCCCTCTACGTATGCTAGCATCATATAAGCAATTGGTTTTGAAAAAATGTTGTTGTTGGGATGCGATCATACCTTGCATGCCGAGTTGCATGCTCTCCATTTGGGCCCGCATCGCCGCCATCTCTTGATGGTAATCAAATTGCTGTTGATTTTGTTGTTGTTGTTGATGTCTTCCTTGCCTTCGCTGACGTTGTTGATGTTGTTGACTTGAGGGCATCAACTCTGCCTCATTCTCATCCTCTTTATTGTCATGCCTTTCATCATGACCTTCACCGAGCTCCATCCTTGCGACCGGGAGGACACCCGAATATTTCCTTATCCACCAAGGATGATTAACCCCCTCCCTTGTGAAGGAAGTGAACTCTGGCTTGGGGAGGAGACAATGACGCTCGTGGGATACTAGCAAACTCCAAGTCCTCCCTCTATCCTCCGTATCCGCAATGAATTTCATCGTTTTCAATTGATCAAGATCGAGCCAGATATCACTTCCATCACTTTTCCCAATGGGAGTGCAAGAACCCAACTTGTCTATGTGACCCAATTTCTCGGCCAACCGGGTGATCATCCCACCGAAATGTATCAGCCCTTTCCTTGTACCCGAGAGAACCCCTTCAATGCACTTGGTGAATAGGAAACCGAAATTCACTCTATGCCCCAACTCTGGCTGTGTAGCTAGCAACAAAATTCGAATTTCCTCCATTGTGATCTTTCCCAAGTCCTGTTTATTAAAAACCATGTACCCGAGAATTTAATGTAGAAGTCTGATGGCTGGGTGCATGATTTGACTGGCTAAGGAATAGTTGGCAATGAAGGCGTCCATCCTTGAGATGACTTTCCACCACGAAAGGGGATTATAATCACGAAAGAACTCGTGCTCGGGGAAGAACATGTCGGCGTCCGGGTTAAGGTCCAGTAGTTGGTTAAATTGGCGAAGGTTAACAGTCCCTGTTTTTGTTGAAGAGTTGAAAAGAGATGGCGAGGTCCTTATCCCCCGCGGCATGACATTCAAAGGAGGCAAGGAACTCAAGAGTGGGCTCCTTATAGGTCCGGTAGGCACTTGTCACAAATGAGCCTAACCTAAGATTTTTGAATAGGAACCAACAATCGTCGTCTATGCCAAGCTTTGTTGTAGAGGGTTGGTGGTAGTTTTTTGTAGGTCTAAATTTCTGGTTTTGCAAATTGTCGTTGATAGATTTGTGATTTTTATTGTGGAATTTTAGGGGTGGCAAAGGTTGTGGAGTAGGTTATTCATTTTATTATGGAATTTGAGGGGTGGCAAATGTCGTCGTGCCCGCGGGTTTGCCTGTACGCGCCCGCGGGTCTAAGTGTCGGGCCCTCTCTTGGGCATCTCCTAGGCATCTCCGCTTTCTGAATTTTTCTGAAGAGGAGCAAGCCGCGCCCGCGGGATTAAATTTCGCGCCTGCGAGTTTTACATGTTTGCGCCCGCGGGTCTAAGTGCTGCGCCCGTGGGTCTTCTTGGAGAGCCCTCTTCTGGGCATTTCCAAAATGTCAGTAAAGGGGCTTAAAAACCCTGCCCGCGCCCGCGGGTCTTCTTGGAGAGCCTTTCTCCTAGGCATATCCAGGGCATCTCCAGAAACACAAATAATCCCTTAAGACTTGAGACCTGAAATCCAATTGCAACCTTCTCTTTTGATTCATAACTCCCCCTTAACACCTTCACACTCAAATTTATAGACTAAATGCCCAAAGATTCAAGTACCTACAAAAGAAGAACAAAAAGTACACAATAAGAGTCTAGAGAGAAATCAACCAAAATTGACTAAATACAAGAAATAAAAGACCAAAAGAGTTTGAGAACTCGGGTTGCCTCCCGATAAGCGCTTCTTTATGAGGTCACTAGCTCGACCATGATGAACCATTATGTAAGAGGTGGCTTAGGATCCAATGGATCAAGCCTAATACATTCTATCAAGCTTACTTCATCCTTGCAAAAGTAGTGCTTTAAACTATGACCATTAACCATGAACTTGTTGTCTCTCACCTCCAACTCAAAAGACCCACAAGGAGTAGTCCTTGAAATCACGAAAGGTCCCGACCATTTGGACTTGAGATTTCCGGGAAACAAACGGAGCCTAGTGTTAAATAACAACATCTTATCTCCAACCTTGAAGCTCTTGTTCCTTATATGTTGGTCGTGCCATTTCTTAGTTTTCTCCTTGTATAGTCTCGAGTTCTCGTAGGCATCATACCTAAGCTCTTCAAGTTTGTTGAGCTTGAGCAATCTCTTCTCACCGGCCAACGACATATCCATGTTTAACTCCTTGATTGCCCACCAAGCTTTATACTCTAACTCAACCGGCAAATGACAAGCTTTCCCACAGACCAACCGATAGGGGGTTGTACCAATTGAAGTCTTGTATGCCGTCCGCAAGGCCCAAAGTGTGTCGTCAAGCTTGAGGGACTAATCCTTCCTAGATTTGTTCACCATCCTTTTGAGAAGGTTCTCGATCTCTCTATTTGACACTCCACTTGCCCTTGGTTTTGAGGATGGTAAGGTAGACCAACCTTGTGATGAAGCCCTTATCTCTTAAGAAGAGCTTCGAATTGCTTCTTGGCGAAATGAGAACCTCCATCACTAATTAGCACCCTAGGAAGCCCAAACCGCGGAAAGATAATTTTCTTGAGAAGCTTAAGCACAACCTTATGATCATTGGTAGGGGAGGGTATAGCTTCAATCCATTTAGTCACATAGTCCATCGCTACCAAGATATACATATTCCCACATGAAGAGATAAAAGGCCCCATAAAGTCGACACCCCAAACATCAAACGGCTTAACTTCCAAAAATTTTTGTTGAGGAATCTTATTCCTTTTGGTTATGCCACCACTTCTTTGGCACATGTCACATCTTGAATCAAACTTATGGACATCCTTATGTATTTTCGGCCACCATAAAAGAGATAGAGAAATCTTTGCCACCGTCTTATCAACTCCTCCATGTCCTTAACACGGTATTGAGTGGCAATGCTCAAGAGCTCCTTCGATCTCATGGTCCGGAACACATTTCGGGAATAGGCCATCTTCACATTGCTTAAACAAGTAGGGGTCATTCCAAAAGTACCTCCTCACTTCCTTGAAAAAACCTTTTCTTTTGTTGAGAAGAAAACTACAGGGGAATGACCCCGCAAGCAAGATAATTGGCTATATCAACATACCACGGGCTAGATGTTGAAGCCATAGCCATGAGAGTTTCAAATCCTACTTCTTCATTGACTGGACATCCTCCTTGTTCTCAAAAGGAAGCCTAGACAAATGATCAGCGAAAAAAATTCTCCGCCCCCTTTTTATCTCTCATCTCTATGTCAAAATCTTGGAGCTAAAGAACCCAACGGATGAGGCGTGGCTTAGCTTCCTTTTAAGTCATAAGATAGCGAACCGCTACATGATCCGTGTACACAATCACTTACGATGGGACCTAAATTTGTCCATGACAAACATAACCGCAAGCATTTCCTTCTCCGTCGTTGTATAGTTCTTTTGAGCCTCATCAAGTTTTCTACTTGCATAGTAGATGGAATGAGATCTTCCTGCTTTCTTTTGCCCAAGCACCGCACCTACTACAAAATCACTTGCATCGCACATTAGCTCAAAAGGCAAGCTCCAATCCGGAGCTTGCACAACAGGAGAGGAAATGAGAGCTTCCTTGAGTTTTTGAAATGCCTGAAGAAAAGCCTCATCAAAGTTAAACACAACATCTTTCTTAAGTAATTCGGTCAAAGGTTGGCGATTGATGAATTTTTTTTGATAAAACTCCGATAAAAATCGGCATGCCCTAGAAAGGCTCTCACTCCCGTAACGGAAGTAGGAGGGGGCAACTTTGCAATCAACGAAACCATGGCCGAATCAACTTCAATGCCCTTTTTTGATACTTTATGGCCTAGGACAATACCCTCCTCAACCATAAAATGGCATTTCTCCCAATTTAAAACCAAACTCGTCTGTTCATACCGTTTTTGAACTTTTTCAAGATTATAAAGATATGTGTCAAAAGATGAGCCACCAACACTAAAATCGTCCATAAAAACCTCAATATCATTTTCAAGCATTTCAGAAAAAATGGAAGTCATGCATCGTTGGAAAGTTGAAGAAGCATTGCATAACCTGAATCACATTCTTCGGTGTGCAAATGTTCCATATGGACATGTGAAAGTAGTTTTCTCTTGATCATTTAGATGGATAGGGATTTGGAATAACCCGAAGTATCCATCCTAAAAGCAAAAGAAAGCATGATGGCAAAGTTTCTTCGACAATTGGTCCATGAAGGGGAGAGGAAAATGGTTTTTCTTTGTATTTTTGTTTAACCTCCTATAATCAATGCACATTCTCCATCCGGTCACCGTCCGGGTGGAGATTTCCTCTCCTCCTTCTCCCTTAACGATGGTCATTCCACCTTTCTTTGGAACTACGTGAACCGGGCTAACTCACTTGCTATCGGAGATATCATAGATTATGCCCGCTTCTTACAATTTCAAGATTTCTTTCTTAACAACCTCTTAGAGGTTGGGGTTCAACCTCCTTTGTGGCTCAATTGAGGTGGATTGATCATCCTCAAGATGAATATGATGCATGCACAAAGAAGGGCTAATACCCTTGGTATCATCAATGTTATACCCTATCAAAACTCTATATTTTTTCAACACATCAAGCAATTTTTCCAAATCAAGACCATCTAGGGTAGCATTGACAATAATAGGGTATTCCCCTTCATTTCCAAGATAAGCATATTTCAAAGAGGGGGAGAGGGGTTTGAGTTCTACCTTGGGAGGAGGCTTGGAACTCTCCTCCATTTTCTCTTCCAATAGTTCAAGCTCATCATCCCTACGATCATCCTCTTCCTCCATTTTGGCTTATTCAATGGCCATGACAAACTCTTTTGCTTCTTAAGAGTGGTACTCTTCCTTGCATGTAAGAGCTTCAACCATTGGATCTTGAGGACTCATCATAACCCTTCCCAAGCGATCTAACTCTTCATTCACAACATTAACCCTATAGCACTTATCAACCATGGGGGTTTTGAGTAGCTTTGAGAACTCAAAAAAAATATTTTCATTGACTACCTCACATGTAATGGTGTTATTCTTGCAATTGATCACCGCCCCCAAGGTCTTGAGAGTTTCATGACCCAAAATCAAAGGAGTATCGACATCTTCCTCCATATCCATCACTACAAAATCACAAGGCACATAAATATGCCCAACTTGAATAGGGACGTCATCGAGCTCACCACAAGGTAGCTTCACCGAACGGTTGGCCAATTGGATAGTTTTTCTTGTGGGGATCATTTCAATATTAAGAAATTGAGCAATGCATAGAGGGATCAAACTAACACTTGCTCCAAGAACGGCTAAGGCACCCCTAGCTTCCATGTTCCCAATCTTTACCGGCAAAGTGAAACTTCCCGGATCCTTTTGCTTCTTGGGCATCTTATGTTGAAAACGTGCACTCACTTGATGGGGGAGAGTGATAAGATCATCATTAAGCTTCCCCTTGTTGGTGAGGATATCTTTCAAGAACTTGGAGTATGAAGGAATTTGGGTGACAACTTCGAGGAAGGGGAGATTTATGTGCAAGTTCTTCATCACACTAAGGAACTTTGCAAACTTATTATTTAATTTCCTCTCCGCAAGTCGACCGGGAAAGGGAACCGGTCCATCAAGATTCCTAGCCTCACTAGGAGTTGAAGATGTCACCACATCTCTAGAGTTCTTTTTCTCCATACTTCTCTCTTTCCCAACAACCTTCTCTTCTTCGACTTCCTTATCTTCACTCACACTCTCTTCTCCTTCCTTCTTTTCCTTACTATCCCTCTTCTTGGGACTCTCATAGGACGTACCCGATCTCAATATGATTGCCTTGCAAGAGTCGGGTTTCACAATGTTGGAAGGGTTAGTTTGTGATTATCCGGGTAGTTAGAAGGTTAGTTGAAAGGAACTCTCTCGGCCAATTGAGCTAGTTGTGAATCAACCATCTTGTTATGAGCCTTAACCTCTTGCATTTGTTGATTCGTGGCTTGAAGTTGTTGAAGAATTTAGGTTTGAGTAGAATCGAGTTTAGATGCTTGCTCTTGACTACTTTGAGTTGCTTGATTTTGATTGTGGTATTGGTTTTGATTATTGTGTTAGTTGTTTCTTGGATAGTATCCTCTTGGGTTTTGGGTTTGGAATGGAGGTGGGTTTCGGTATTGGGGGTTGGAGTTGTATGGTTGTTGAGCTTGTTGATTCCATTGTTGGGGTTGGTGAGCAAATCCGGGTGGTGGTTGCCTCCAAGCTACTCCACCGCCACTTCCCCTATATCAATCTTGCCTTGTGTTGTAAGCCGCCACATGCTCCGGGCTCAAACCTCCACAATAAGATGTATCATGGTTCGTTCCACCATAATTTTGACAAGAGAAATAGTTGACTTGAGAGGAGCTTGCCCCACTATTGACACTCGTACTCAACTTTGCAAGCCCTTTGTCAAAAGCTCAATTTGATGTTGCAATTGTTCAACCTTCTCTAATTCATACTTTCCACCCATCTTTTGTGCATTCCCCCTTCTACCACCCCAAGAGTAGTTCTTCACTACCTCTTCAATTGTTGCTTCAACTTTATTTTGAGGGACTTTAATCAATTGGCCACCCACCCCCGCATCCAAGTTAGCTCTAGACACAGGTTCCAACCCATCATAGAAGAATCTCATGAGCAAGCTTTGATTGGATTCGTGATGAGGACATGCTTTTACCAACTCTTTGAATCTTTCCCAAGTTTCACTAAGACTCTCATCCGCTTCTTGTTCAAATGATGCAATCTTCCTTCTCATCTCAACGGTCTTTTTTTTCGGAAATGAACCTCTTCAAGAATTCCTTGACTACCTCCCTCCATGTCGTGAGAGAGTTTGGCTTGACTTGTTTGAGCCACTTCTTTGCTCTACCCGAAAGAGATTTTCAAAATAAGTGTATACGGATGTATTCTTGAGAAACTTGGTTGTTTTGAATCATGGCACAAAGCTCAAGAAATCTATCAATATGCTCAATAGGATCTTCACTTGGAGAACCCGAAAATTGCTCCGCTTGAACCATTCTAGTGTATTGTGCATGAATGGTAAAGTTTATTTCCGTGAAGGGTAGCAAAATCCCTCCCGTGAGCTCATAATCCTCGGGATTTCCAAACTCACGAAACAAAACATCATTCTCCTGCCTCGCCATTTCCTCGCTTTGAGAAATATGATCTTCTTTTGAAAGGAATGGTGTCCTTCCAACAAGTGTATTATTCCGATAAAGGGTTCAGAATTATTGGATAGCTAATTCTTCAGTAAGGCCAAGTGATCGGAATGCCTAGGTGGAGGCCGCTTCCGATCAGTAATATTAATGTACAATTAATATTACAGCTTAATCTTGACTGAACCCTTCAGGTCGAACACAATTGAACAACCGATCCGAGATGACGAGTCAATCCGAAGAATTTGATGAGTCATCAGAGTTTTACGAACAAAGACGTCGGATATCGAGCTTAGAGCGTCGAGACCAAGTGTCGCAAGTCGAGTCGAATTTGGAATTCGACGAGACGTGAAATCAATCAAGTTACAAGTAGGAACCTAGCCGTAGCCTTGCATTATCCTAGCCATGTGAGTGCTAGGCTAGGCAAGACCCATCGCAATGCTAGTCGCAAGCCTAGCATGCCAGGCGTGCTAGGCCAATGCATGTTAGCTAGCTTAGCCACCGCAGCCATCGCAGCCTTGCGTGTGTGTTAGCACGCCATGCGCGCAAGCATCGCAAGGCTAGGCCTTGCTAGCATGCTAGGCGCTGGCGCAAGGCATGGCCTAGCAATGCTCGCCTAGCCATCGCAGCCGCGCACCATCGCATAGCAGCATGCTAGGTGTGCTGCTTTATTCGTGATGCTAGGTAGTGGCACGCACCAGCCCCAGCCATCGCTAGCCGCAAGGATGGCATACGCTAGCAGCATGCTAAGCTATGCATGCTTGCTAGCCAAGCTGGGCCAGGCATCGCTGCACAGCAGGCGTGCTGGGCATCGCATGGCAACAGCCCTGTGCCTTGCATATCGCAAGCACCACGCACCAGGCAGCAGCAAGCTTGGCATGTTGGGCTGTGTGTGTGTGCTAGCAAGCAGCAGCACGCTGTGCCTCGCATAGCAGCAACGCCCAGCATGCGTGGCTCGCTAGCAGCAGGCAAGCACTGGCTGGGTGAACATGTGGGCTGACTGTGCGTGTGGGGTTCCAGCTACCTGGCCAGGCTGCCCAGCCTTGGTGCTAGGCGCTAGTTGGCTGCCTTGGCAGCCAAGGCAAGCTGCCAGCCAGCCACTTGGATGGGAGAGGCGGTTTGCTAGTGGGGACCAAGGGGTGTGAGCTTTGCCTTTGGGAGCAAGGCTACGGTCCCCCTCCCCCTTGGAAATGGTCCTCACCTAATCTCTCATCCTCCTTGTGCCACTTGTAACTTATTGATTGAATTGCAATTTTATTTTTTGTTTTAATTAAAATAAAATGGAAAAATTGAAAATCTCCCTCATTGATTGAGAGTGGGATTCGAAGGTTCATTTCCCTATAAATACCAAGGTTTTGGAATTTGGGAAGAACACTTTAGTGGAACTATAACTGGTTTCTAGTTTTTATTGATTGAGTCCTGACTAACCTTTGGGACATGGATCGTTCAGGTCGGGTTTGTGGGTACGAGCCGTCAGAGACCTTCGCATTTGTCGGGTTCAAGTTTTGAAGTAAGAGCTAGGGATTCGAGCGAAGCACGCGCCAAGGGTAAGAATGTCTTTTCCTTCTCTCTCATAATTGTTGTTTAATTTGTGATTGTATGCTTAGTCACTTTAATTAGTGTGCGGGTCTTAGGCGGGTTTCTCTTCCGCGTAGAGTCGGACTCTACGAAACCCAACAGCGGTATCGGAGCCGCGCTCACTTTAACTATTGTGACTAATAATTAATTAAGGTGATTTAAAATGGATTTAAATTTCTGGTTATGCTTTCTAATTAGATTAGAAGCTCGTTTTAACTAGTTTTAATCTCGTATTTTTTACTAATTTGGCTGACTAACCCATATTTCGACTAAAAATGGTGATTTTTGGGTGGAATCAATGTTCTAAATCGTTTCTAAACCTATTAAGGTTGTCCAGAAGCCAAAATCCACCCAGAAACATATTTTTCGAGGGTTTTTTTGTTTTTGACAAAAAAATTTTAAATCTTTTAACCTTGATTATTTATTCCATGTTGAAGGTAGATTAAATGTATGGTTGCATCCCTAATCTGCTGCAATTATAAACCTCATTAAGCATGTTTATGAAGTCATAATTGGTGCTTAATTTGGTGTGTTCACTTTTCACATAAATTTGTATTTTTCACATTATTGCAAATAAATTGCTTTAAGTGTGAATGTTTATGGTGAACTTGCAATTTAGAAGCCCCTAAAATTTCAAAGATTCAATCTGTAATTGTTTATTTGGTTCGAACTTTGATTGCTAAATTCCATGTTGAACTAATTTTGGATTTAATCATTTTTGTATTGATTAAAGTCGTTAAGGTCCAAAATTGTGATTGAATTTTTAATTAATCTTCAATTTGGAAGATGTAATTTTTCAATTTTACACAAGTTATTGATGGAAATTTTTCATTGGATGAAAGGGTTTATTTTTCCAACACCCTTAATTTTGTCAAATCTCATTATTAATTTACATTTCAATAAATTAATTATGAGTGTAGGCCTTCAAGTTTTGTAGAATAAAGAAAGACCTAAATTGCTTTAAGAATGGTTCTTGAATAATTTAGGCTTGTGCACCATTAGAAAATTGAATTTAATTAAGTTAGACTTGTTTTAATTTCATTTTTGGCCTAAATTGTTTCTAAAATAAATTTAGAATTAATTTTATGTCACCCGAATAACGGGATTAAAATCCTGAGAAAAGGCACGCAAATCTAGGCAAAACACCCAAGCACCACCAAGGCTAGTCGGGTTGCTCACGCAGCCCACATGTGGCTGCCTTAGGTGCGCACAAGGGTAATCAACCTCACATTACTGTTGCTACTATCTGGCTAGGCTCGTATGTGTGTGCTGCTATGTGCGTGGTGCGTGTTGCGTGGCGGATGCTGTTGGCCATGCTTGTGCATGATGCTGGGCAGCGAGTCAGCAAGCCCAAGCAAGCCAGCCACTCGCCTGCAAGTGCCAGCATGCAGCCAGCATGCGTAGCATGCGCAACAAGCTGCTGGTGCCAACAAGCGTGGCATGCGTTGCTGGGCATGCATGCCAGCACCTAGCATAGGCAGCCGCATCTCCCAAGTGTTGCTAGGCACCCATGGTGCGCATCCCACGTTTTTTGGGTGGGTCAATTTCTTGCTTGAATTGGGCTATCGGTTATTGCAAAATTTTGCAATTTTAATTTATTTAATTATTTTAACGAGGCTAGGCCTTACAAAATTTAGTGGGAGTTTAGTGGGAGTTTTGCAATTTTAATTTATTTAATTATTTTAACGAGGCTAGGCCTTACAAAATTATTTTAACGAGGATAGGCTATCCGGCTCTTACAAAATTTTTGTTAACCGACTTAATTAATTGGAATAATTAAGTTGGATGCGGAATTTAGTGGGAGTTTTGTTAATTGCATGCAATAATTGCGTCTTAATCACATAAAATGTTAAACAACTTTGACTAGTTTTAATTAGGCGCGTTAATTGGATTAACCACCTAAGTTAGTTACTAGTTCGTGCGCGTTATGCATTGTTACTTATT